AAGAATAAGAAGGGTGACGGGTTAGCAGCATTACCCCCAACATGCTGTGTAGAGGAGGATGGGAGTGATCATAGCGTGCTCGGAGATAACAGCGGCTTACCTATTGACAATCCGGTAGTAGTTCCAGCTCCAGCTCTTCAGACATAGGCCTGGCGGGATGTGACCAATGATATGGACCTGTGACCAGAGAAGACAGAAGGAGAATCACTCATAACATTGGGGTTAGAGGTCACCAATATATTCGGGGATGGGCAATGCTCTCACAGTCCCTCCTTCCATCCACTACATGAACTATCTCATGATTTATAACCTTACAGATTCATCCTAAAAACCGTCAGCATCATTTTTAGGACACGTCTCCAACATCCGGCTCCTCTCCCCCTGACACTCAGACCAGTGGGACATTCTAAAGCAGTCCAGCAATGGACCAACACAGCCAAACAAAGTCTAACAGGCCCAAGAAGAACATTCACAACGAGGGATGGTAAACCAGAACCAGAGAACTGTAATAGAGGTGAGCCCAAGTCACAGGGCCGCCTGAAAGACCTTCCGGCCAAAACTGGCATCGGCAAAGGACTACTTCATAGACTAAGGGTGCCAATGCTGACCAGTGTCCACCACCAAAAGAACCTAAAATGGCCATGTGAGCATCAAAACCTGGACATGGAGCAATGGAAGAAGGCCCCCTGAGAGCCCGTACAGACAACCTGAGAGTTCCCAGACCCCACCTAAGAGCCCTTATAGACCACCTGAGAACCCACAGAGCCTACCTGAGAGCCCTTATAGACCACCTGAGAGCACACAGACCCCACCTAAGAGCCCTTATAGACCACCTGAGAGCCCACAGAGCCTACCTGAGAGCCCTTATAGACCACCTGAGAGCCCACAGACCCCACCTAAGAGCCATTATAAACCACCTGAGAGCCCACAGAGACTACCTGAGAGCCCTTATAGACCACCTAAGAGCCCTTATAGACCACCTGAGAGCCCACAGACCCCACCTAAGAGTCCTTATAGACCACCTGAGAGCCCACAGACCCCACCTAAGAGTCCTTATAGACCACCTGAGAGCCACACAGCCCCCCTGCAATCATGTACAGACCACCTGAGAGCCCTTATAGACCACCTGAGAGCCACACAGTTCCCCCTGGGTTCCTGAATAGACAGCCTGAGAGCCTGCAGAGGTTGCAATTGCAGGGTTGGCACTTTGTGATACATAAGTTGGTTTAGAGATCCAGTTTGGGCTGAAAGAAGTTCCCCGTCAATGTCCTCGGCTACCTCCAGGGCTGAAGTTTAATATAAGTAACACAGAGGCAATCAGCCATCATTGTCTGTTGGCTGTAATGTATAAGCAAGGCCCTGCTGAGTATGTAGTACACATTTCTGGCAGCGTTTACACTTCTAATAGAGCCCGGCGTCCTAAAAAGTCCTTTTCTTGGTGTCCTTACCCCCCTCGGAGGGATTCTGCTCCCTTCCCGGTAACCAGACAGGAAATTAGGGGAACTCTCTCCAAAGGGGATAAGATAATATTAATGAATGGCCTGGCAGAGGGACCTTGCCTCACTCCTCCAAGAAGAATGGAAAGATTCTGCCCGGGCTTAATCAAGATTGATATTCCACAAAAGGTACCCCAAATTTTCTGGGTGCTATAATGCCTAAAAGTGATCTCCCCTCCACATGATGGAGTTCAGGTGTCTCCAGTGAATGGCTCTGGTCATACTACAGCATACAAAGACATTGTAGACTATTGTGCTCCTCCAGGTTTGTGGTCACAATGTGGTGATGGCCCTCTTCTGATCCACCATGACTGGGGCCCCTGAGATTGGTGTGGGAGAACTGGAGTGGCCCCCACAGAGCCCTTAACAAGAATGCCAATGACAAGTCAGGCCTGTCCATATTCCGGTGTGTAAACAGAGCTTGGAAGACGTCTGTAGTCCAGCCGCCCTTCCCCCATCTCTCCTGAAGCTTCATACCGGACTATGGAGAGAAGAAGCCTGAGCTGTGCAGCCATGATGGACTGACCACAGGGGCGATGCTCTGCGGGCCGGAATCCAAACATGACAGAAATGCTTTATGTTTATTATTTACTTTTATTCTTGCAAAAGGTGAACTTCCCCTTTAATGATTTGTGATGAGAGTCACATGAGCCGCTTTGTTATCAGTGATGGCGCAGTAGAGCTCATCAATACATATGATTATCAGTCATTTGTCTTGTAGTCAGGGGGTGTCATTGCTCTGAAAAGAGCTCATCATTCTGCTCACTATTTTGCAGGTAGCTCATTATTCTAAGGAAGCGGATTATTCTGCAAGGAGCTCACTATTTTGCAGGTAGCTCATTATTCTAAGGAAGCTGATTATTCTACAGGGAGCTCACTATTTTGCAGGGTGACAGAAGAAGTTACATTGTTACTTTTCGTGTTGCAGACGTCTCCATTAACCCCTCGCTCTCCGGAGAAATCTCCAATCCTCAGAACATTGCGGAAGCTTCATGAAGACAAAGTACGAGGTTGCCCCCTAGTGGGCACAGAAGACAATGGAGGTGAGCAACACACCAGAATCCATCAATATATTTCATCCATTGATCACATAGAATCCTCCATCCAATACATCCGATCATTCTGATCTCCTCACCACAAAAGAGGTTTGTAAAGAACATGAACCATGACATAGGTGACGGTTCCAGGGGTGGCAGCATGGCACAGGTGAGGGGCCTAGGGGTGGCAGCATGGCACAGGTGAGGGGCCTAGGGGTGGCAGCATGGCACAGGTGAGGGGCCTAGGGGTGGCAGCATGGCACAGGTGAGGGGCCTAGGGGTGGCAGCATGGCACAGGTGACGGTTCCAGGGGTGGCAGCATGGCGCAGGTGACGGTTCCAGGGGTGGCAGTATGACGCAGGTGAGGGGCCCAGGGGTGGCAGCATGACCCAGGTGAGGGGCCCAGGGGTGGCAGCATGACCCAGGTGAGGGACCCATTGTTCTGTATGTCCTGTGCAATTCATTGCTGTCTGATGGGACCTGTAGTCTGCCTTCTTCTGTAGATTGCCCCATCTCTCCTGAAGCTTCACACCGCACTTTGGAGAGATGAAGCCTGAGTTGTGCAGCCATGATGGACTTACCACAAGGGCGATGCTCTGCGGGCCGGAATCCAAACATGACAGAAATGATTTTTGTTTATTATTAAATATTCATTTCTTTCATTCTTGCAAAAGGTGAACACTTCCCCTTTAAGGATTTGTGATGAGAGTCACATGACCTGCTTATTATCAAGTCTTGTAGTCA